AACTGTATCTGGCGTTCGCATACAGTCAAGTTACACGATTTGAAACTAATTTGAATGTCGTCCACGTATACAGAGTACGATATCGCAGGTGGAATAACAGAGCGAAGAGAGTTCATTTTAACTATAAATAGTGTGCAGCTTAATACTCCTTCCTGCGGCACTCCATTTTCTTGAAGAAATGTGCGCGATAACACAGTACCTATTCTTACACGGAACTTCCTCTCAAACAGGTAATCTTTTAAGATGGTAATCAACCTGCCACATATTCCGAAAGACAGTAGATCTTGCAAGATTCCATATCGCCAGGCAGTATCATATGCCTTCTCAAGGTCGAAGAAAACAGACAGACAGTATTGATTGTGTACAAACGCGTCACGTATATACGACTCGAGGAGGACAAGATAGTCAGTTGTGGATCTAGCTGTACGAAAACCAGACTGGCACGGGTCCAATATGCCGTTGTATTCCAAGTAGTAGACCAAGCGGCAGTTATTCATTTTTTCAAACACTTTGAGTAGGCAGCTTGTGAGGGCGATAGGCCTGTAACTATTTACCGAAGAGGGATCTTTGCCCTGTTTAAGGATTGGTAGTACTATTGCCTCTTTCCAAACAGAGGGTATTTTGCCGGAATTGAAAATCTTGTAAAGTGCTAAAAGGCAGTGATCATTTCATAAGTAATTGTATCAGAACCAGGAGCAGAACTTCCACAGGAACCAAGGGCGAGCTTCAGTTCATATAGTGTTAGTGCTTTATTGTATCCGTCTGATACCGCCTTGTTCCGGCACAGAGGTACACTTTCAGCTATGCTTTTGTGGCGTAAGAACTTAGTGGTATAGTTTTCTGAGCTTGACATTTTCTCGAAGTGTTCGCCAAGAGCGTTTGTCTGTTCTTCTATTGTATCACCGCAGTCATTCACCAAAGGGAAGGGATTTGGGCCTTGTCCTTTAAGTTTATGCACCCTATTATAAACCTTGCTGACGTCTGCGTAGGAGTTTATTGAGGATATATAGCGTGTCCAGCTTTCCCGTTTGGCTATACGGCGAACACGCCTACCATTCGCTTTGAAACTTTTAAAGGTTATCAAGTTTTCTGCTGTTGGGTAGCGAGAAAAAACCCTCCATGCTTTGTTTTGCCGTTTTTTAGCAATTTCACACTCCCGATTCCACCATGGCTTTGTGTTAACCTTATCATTCCTGGAATGCGGTATGCCCTTTTTTGCACAAGTAAGAACATATTCAGAAATATAGTTGGCCATCTCTTCTACTTCCAAATGGTCTACCTCTTCTAGGTGTAGTGTACATAGCTTTCTGAATTTCATCCAGTTTGCTACATGAAAGTTCCACTTTTCGGGATAAGACGGCCGGTCATCCCGTTGTTTTGTTACTAAAAGAGTTGGAAAATGGTCACTTCCATATGGATTATTAATAACTTTCTAATCTAAGTAAGGTAGGAGTGACGGTGACCCAATGGCTAAATCTATGCATGAATATGTATTGTGTGTGGTACTGAAGTATGTTGGCTCTGCCTTATTGAGCAGACAGGCTCCAGATACGAGAAGAAAGTTTTCTATTGCACGACCTCTCGCATCACATTTGGTATCACCCCATAGCAAACTGTGAGCATTAAAATCTCCAATTAACATATATGGTTCTGGAAGCTATTTAATAAGCTTTTCGAACTCTGTTTTATTGAATGGTTCGTCAGGGGCTATGTAGATCGAGCAGATAGATATAAGACGGTTGAATAGAATAGCGCGAACAGCTACAACCTCAAGAGAGCTTTGTAGCACAATGTGCTGGCGTGCTACGCTTCTTTGTGCAATGATGGCCACACCTCCAGAAGAGAAATTGCCACCATTTCAATCTTTACGAAAAACCACATATTGATTTAAGAAATGCACATGAGTCGACTTTAAATGAGTTTCTTGAACACAGAACACTTTTGGCTGATAGTCATTAAGCAAGTCTTTGATATCATCTAGGTTATTAAATAGGCCTCTGGCATTCCACTGTAGTATTTGTGTGTCCATTTTAGATGTGTTTTGTGTTGTGTGCTCAAGGATGGAAAGTAAGCTCACGGACCCTTTCCAGGGGCCGTGACACGAGATTTTTCTTTTTTGGATCGAACGACAGAGTCGCGCCGATCCTTAGGCGCTGGCTGCGCCCTCACGCTCGGTGTTGTGTCTATTGCCTCTTGCGAGGCGCTGGACACACGCTCTTGCGAGCGCTGCATTTGTTTTGAGGGCCTCGCCTCAAAGGACGAGCCCTTCGCGGCCCCCAGCCCGGAGGTTGGTGGGTCTTTCTTGGATGGCGGAGCAGCACTTGCTGCAACCGCCGAGGGGGCGGATGGCTTCACCGCTGGCTCACTACGCGTGTGCCAGACAGGCGCCGGGGGCCGTCGTGGCGCTGCCCCTTGACGCGCCACTTTGGCAAAGCTGGTTTTTGGTAGGCAGGACACCTGCCTTCGTGCCTCCCTAAATGAAATGTTTTGTTTTACTTTAATTGTGATAATTTCCTTTTCTTTTTTCCAGCATGGGCATGACCGTGAGTATGCGGCATGCTCCTCATTACAGTTCGCACAGTGAGGAGAGTTTTCACAGGCATCAGATGTGTGGTCTTCAGCACTGCATTTTGCACAAGTTAGGCGGCCTCGGCAGTTCTGCGAACTGTGGCCGAACCGCTGGCATTTGAAACATCGTAGAGGGTTTGGAATATAAGGCCTCACTCGAAGCTTGATGTACCCAGCCTCAACGGAATTTAGCAGTACACTTGAATTAAATGTAAGTATTAGGTACTTAGTCTGGACTTCTTTGCCATCACGTCTCATCCTAATTCGTTTCACGTTGATGACATTCTGTTCGCTGAAACCCTCCAGGAGTTCAGCCTCAGTCAGCCCTAACAGGTCATCATCTGAAACAACACCACGGGTGGTGTTCATGGTTCGGTGTGGGGTTACTATGATTTTGGTATCTCCGAATTTCACGAGATTAGGCAGTTTCTCATATTGTTTCTGGTCGCGGAGCACCAACAGGAGGTCACCACTTGCCATTCTCGATGCTTTATATCCTGGGCCAAAGATTTCTGTCAGAGACTTCGAAACAAGAAAAGGTGAAATTGTTCTCACTGGTTTGCCGGGTGTGTCAGCGTGTATAACGTGGAATCGGGGAAAGGATACTCTATGGTGACCAAAAAACTGGAATACTTCATCGGTGCGCCCTCTTTTCTGAGGGCGATCAGGGAGTGGGGGGAAGGAACAAGCCATAAGAAAAAGTTTATTTTCGGCAGTGGCGCCAGCCACCCACCATGGAGTCCTACGAGGGGACGCTGCAGGGTCTGTAAGCACAGGACCTGCAGACGCCAGCTGTACACCACCACTATAACCGAATATGGTGTATCCAAGGTAGGATAGCCACACAGGATTAACCCTTGCCGCCAGGAAACACGGAAGTCAACGGAAAAGATTAGAGGACAGGAAAGATTTGAAGTAAGAGAAAAGACGAAGATGTGAGGGGGAGACAGGAAAAGGCGACTGCCGATTCCCCCCAGGCGGGTCAATCCGGGGGTGCCGTCTACGTGAAGCCAGGGCCAAAGGGGTGTGTTGCCTCTGCCGGGGGGCCTTAAAGGTCCAAGCACCCAGCGTCGGCTCAACCCCCAGGATCCCCTTTTCCCCGGACACGGCAAAGCCACGCACGGCTAGGCGTGGGAGGGAGTCAAAACTCCCCCGTTAGCTCGGGTCCGCGGTGTCGCTACACACCAAATGCCTACTTGCGCAGGCGCCCCTGCGGGGCTGAGGAGTTCGTCATTTTGTAGTTCATTAGCTTCGACGGCATGGAAGGGCCGACTCCAAAAACTCGACGAGTGCACCACGATGCCGCTTTAAAAAGAAAAGTCATCGCGTGTGCCGAAACGAACGGAAATCGGGCCGCATCGTGGTCGTTCGGAATTTCCGAAGCGTGCGTGCGGGACTGGCGGAAAGAAAAGCAGAAGAGTCGACAGCAAGGATTCACGCAAAGGCTTCAGTGGACCACAGCAGGGTCGGTTTCCGCAAATTGAAGAGCTGCTCGTGGAGTATGCGCTTGAGCAGCGAGCAGCACAGCGGCCCGTGACGACAGAACTGCTCTAAGCGCGGTGCTCTAAGTGCGGGCTATGCAGTTAACTTTAGAAAAAGGGCTAACGCGGGGCCAGTTCAAAGCGAGCAGGTGCTGGCTAACTTCATGAAGAGGAAAAGCTTTTTCCTCCGAAAGCGAACGGGCATGGGCCAAAACTTGCCGGAGGAGTACAAAGAAAAGCTTCACAGTTTTCAGAGGTTCGTCCTAAACTTGCGGCACAACAACGGCTACCTGCTTGGGCAAATCGGGAATGCCGATCAGACGCCTCTTTACTTCGACATGCCTGGCACCACAACTGTCGAGAAGAAGGTGGCGAAGCAAGTTCGCATGCTGACATCGGGCCACGGTAAAACAAGAGTGACGGCAATGCTCCGTTGCACGTCAGATAGGCACAAGCTTCCCCCGTACCTCATATTTAAACGGAAGATGCTCCAAAAAGGAGTCGTTTTCCCGAGTAGTGTGATCGTGTGGGCCAACGAAAAAAATGGGTGCGCGTTGCAATCGATGTCTTACTTTTTTTTTTCGTCGTGGAAACCGAGTGCGCGTTACAATCGAGGGCGCGGTAGAATCGAGTAAATACGGTAATCACGGCATGTGCCATGAACATGCAACCCTGCTGTAGGTGGCCAGTAGATGCGGTCTGTCCAACTTCTATAGTGCGCAACAATGGATAGTGATGGCTAGCTGGTGCAGCTGCACTCAGGCAGTGCAGCTCCAAGTTTTTTCCCAATGTCACACCGAGCCTATTGTCTTACTTCATGGTGCCCACCGTGAGTGCCTACTACTAGCTCCAATGCACAAAACTTCACTTTATAACGTCAATATGTCAACTGAAAATGAGATACAGTAGCACAACTTAAACAGCTGCACTGAGCTGCGAAACAGCACCCACCTCTCTGCAGGACAGCTCCTGGAGCCCCCTCTTCGTTCTCATCATCAGACCTGCCGCGCCTAGGCCACACGTTGACAAGCACATCCGCGAATCCCAGGATGCGGTCTCCTTGCTCACGCAAGACAATGCGCAGGTTGTCCCTGGTGCCCGCATGTTCCTCGGAGAGATCAAAGTAGTGCACCTCTCTGTTGCGAAACAGGGAACTTATTGAACTGCCTGGTTCAACAGATAATTCCCACATATGTGTCATGGTGCAGGCCTGAATTTTGCTAGAAAACCACACAGCAGACCAAAATTGAATGTGACCCGATTACCAAGTCAGACATGTTTCAGAGAAGTACACAGGAAAAAGGAATTCGTTTGCCCTTTTGAAGAGCTTTTGCTGACCTTCTGAAACACAACACAATAAGCATGCAACAGTGGGAAGTCTGTTACAACCTAATAAAAAATGCAGTTCTGCCCACAGAATTGCGGAGCTGCCACTTTCCATCTCGTTAACACTTTCATTACTATGCCTATTAAAGCCTATCACCAGTGATCAATGCTTTGAATTGTCAATTTTGGCATGCTGTATTTGTTTCTCATGCACATGACACCTCTAAGTGTTTAGTCCAGCTACTGAATTTACATAATCAGTTTGAGCGCTTTTGCAACATTGTGATTTTTTACAGATGTTTCTGTGAAACAATGTAAGTGTGTTGGGAGGGCGCGCTTGGCTGATTCACTACAGAGAAATGCGTGCCACCCGAGGTTAGTCTTCTTTTTTTGCGCGAAGTGCCTCCTACATTGAAACACTAACTCCCCCAATGCTCAGTTCTTCTAAACAGCCTTCTGCTTGAAAGTTTATTGTCATAAATAATTCTTCACTGCAAAAATTTATTTGGCCAGTGCGGTGCGTAAATGAGCTGCCCCGGTGGTCTAGAAGGCTGTGGTGCTCGACTACCGAACAGCAGGTTGTGGGATCGAATCCCGCCCACGGTGGCCGCATTTTCGATGGATGCAAAAGTGCTAGAGGCCCGTGTACTTAAGCTTTATGAGCACGTAACAAAACCCCCAGTTGGTCGAAATTTTTAGAGCTCTCCAATTACAGCGTCTTTCATAATGATATGGTTTTTAGATGTTAAACCGCAACAATTTTTTTTATTATTACTGGCCTTTGAAATGCAAAATCCACAGCGTGGTCACATATGAGCCCACACATGATAACGCAACTGGCGTTTGTAAAATGCAATATTGGCAGCTAGTGTTCCCAAATGGTAATACAGTTTAGCCAGCTTATAACAAAGCTCCATATAATGAATTCCTCAATATAATGAAGTTTTTTTATTCCCTGCCGTCGCTCCATAGGAGCACATGTATTTGCGACCTCTATGTAACAAAGTAACTGCGGGAGACAACCTTGATATAACGAATTTTCCTCACGGACAATCTTGGAATTTAGCGCCGCATTTCGGCATTTTGGTACGAGCATGCATCTTCCGCCGCTGCCGCACCGTCGCCGAAGCGGTAGCGGCGGGCATACGGGCCGCGTCCGCGTGAGGCGGGTCGCATGCCCGCCTCACGCGGACGCATGGACCCCACGAGCCAGCGTTGCTCCCTTTCTCGCCACCGCGGTCGCGTGCGCGAGTGTGCCCCCTCCCCCTTTACAAACCAAAATAATAAAAAAAACCACTTTTGCCCATTGGAAGTGCCACGCTTTTAGTTGATTGTTTTGCGGGGTTTAGCGTCCCAAAACCACCATATATGATTGATTATGAGACACGCCTTAGTGGAGGGCTCCCGAAATTTCGACCACCTGGGATTCTTCAACGTGCACCCAAATCTGAGTACACGGGCCTACAACATTTCCTCCTCCATTGGAAATGCAGCCGCCACAGCCGGGATTTGATCCCGCGACCTGCGGGTCAGCAGCCGAGTACCTTACACCACTGTGGCAGGGCGGCCACGCTTTTAGTTAGAGTCACATATGTAGGGTCGCGCTGCATATGGAGGGCGCTTCACCGAATAGTTTCCACGGTACCTGTGTCTGTGTCCGTGTCGTTCGCTCTTCAACGCCGTGCATGCGTGCGTGCATAGTTTCACTGCGCGCGCATGGTGTGTGGTAACCCCCTCCCCCCCTCCCTCCCCCCCCAGCGACGTTCAGCTTTGCTTTTTTTATTGCGATAGCAATTATGTATATGGGCAGTTCCGGCTGGGTTTTTGCCGCCGCCGCCTTCATTCAACATATAGTATACGTACCTATATATATGGAAATCCAAGAAAAAAAGCCGCCCACGCTCAGCTTGTCACGATGTGCCGATGGGCGCTTATTTCCTACGCGTACTTTGTCCCGCGTATGCGGAGGGGGGAGAAGGGGGTTAGATGCTTGTGCGCACGCGCTTATCCTTCGGTGGGGAGAATCGCACGCCTTCGACTTTGACCGGAACGACTGCGTTTGCTCTTTTCACACAGTCTCTTCGCACTGAAACCGCACTGATACCCGCCGAGATAGCAAACGCGCCAGCGATCACGACGGCCCTTAAAATCCAAGTTTATCATTGCTACTTGAGCGATCCCCCCCCCCCCTTCCACGTTGTTTCTTGCTCGTTTAAGACAGGTGGTTTACTTTCTGTTTGAGCATTCGATGGCAGTTCTAACACGCGAGAGATGTTATGCATTTTTCAGGCGATAGGGATGGGCCGACTCGTGATCTCTGCTTCAGCAGCGCTTGCGCGCTTTCACCCGCTTGTGAAAGTTACAATGCGCGGGGGCATGTTGTCAATTTGGACTTGTTGCGGAACATGGCGGCGTCAGCAATAACCCGCGGAGAGAGTCCATATAATTGCTATCGCAATAATAACGCAGTTTTTTACTGTAAAATGAGTGTTTGGGGTTAGCTCTGCCTTCAGTCTCCCTTTTGTTTAATTTGCACGTTTATTTTCCGAATTTGTGTACAGAACTTGGATATAACGAAAACCTCTTTATAACAAATTTTTCTGGGAATTTATCAATTTCGTTATATCCAGGTTTAACTGTATAAGCAATGCTTGTTACCTGCAGAGCGATCGACGCACATAGTATCTAATCAATAATCTTATTTTACTAAATGCCGAGTTTACTCGCTTGTGTAATCTTTTATATCATAAAGCCTCACCTTGAGCACGCTCGTCAACAGCGTCAGTGGACGTTGGTTCCAAATGGATCCATAAATTCTAGTGACCGCTCATGAAACTCATTAAGTAAACCGAGTTGTATATTCTTGTCTGGAGGATGAATAAACTTTATTCTTCCGAAAAGGAAATGGAGGAGCCAGGTTGGACGGGGGTGCTCGAGCCGGCGGGCCGCAACTCTTGCAGGTCGTAACCCGTGCACTCCAGTGTGCGAGCCTGGACTGTATGTGCAACTTTGTGCTCCTCACGGATGTCTTCTAGGTTTCTGGTGAGGGAGTTCCTCTGGGGGTGTGGGAGGCTGTGGGAGTTCCTCTGGGGGTGGTTTAATTTATGCCATATGGCATACTTGGGCCCACCTCCTCCCCCACAAAAATAAAAAAAGCAATGACACTATAGAAGCACTCGGCTGGTTCAACAGTGGCATGCCGGAACACTACAGTAGACAAAATAAAAACGTAGAGAGGTCTTCTTAGCTCGACACAGAAGTTCATGGCTGACTTACACTGCAATATATTAGACCTAGTCACGTCTACTTGACTTCCGAAGTGCTGGCACGGCACAGGTGGAAAGCTAAAGCGTAAGGCCCCCTCGTTCGGCACTGCAAACTGCTACAGCATGCACACTTTCCCCATGGCTGCTTGCACGCCTCTTGCTGGTGCTCGAGCGCTTGAAATGGGTCTATTAGATGGACAATCTATGCAAATTCTTTTCGCATAGGACAACGATGGCCATAGAAGGAGCTCAGAATTTCTTTAAACAACTCACGATTGCAACTTAATAATTAAGATGGAACACGATTAGGTGTACTAAAAGCAACAAGGCTTACACAAGGGAGGTGAAAACTTTATATTCCCTCAGATTTAGGCCAACGAAACCTTTAAAGCCCCTACACAGTACTAAGAAGGCTTTAACATGGCACTTTTCCTTCGACAAGATGGGCAACACTTTCTATGAAGCACCCACTTTTCTTCTCACTTTTTTCTTATTTCGACTCCCTTATCGATTAACATGCTTTCACTGACGAAATGTTGTCAAGTCTTTTTTTGGCAAGAGAGAGTGTGACAAGATTGAATAACTGACAAGACTGCTTAGAGCGAAATGTGTGACAGTTCTTGGTTGCACTGCCCGCACGCACGGAAAGTCTTGGCTGGCCTTTGACTGAAGATGTCTTTTCCATGAGTGTAAGCCTGAATGATGTTGGTGCTGTCCTGAACACCTTGGTCAAGTATTCCCATCAAAGCAAGTGCTAGAGCCATCTGCAGAGCTGACTAACCCTCCAGAGCTTAATCTAGCAAAAGCTCGAGTAATGCAGAAGACTTGCGTATGACTATGGTCTGCAGAATGTTCTCTGTTCTTCAGCTGTCATTTCTCTTCCCCAAATATTTTAGCCAATGATAACTGTCATACCATCACACTCTTTCAAGATTTCATTCTGTTTGTCTTTTCTGCTTATCAGCAACCGAATACTGCATGGCTTGCCTTTCCTTCTTTGGGTGAGCAAAGCATGCAGCTGGGCTCCATTGAAAAAAAGTTGACTGGAACCACAGATGCACGCAAAAGCACAGTATGAAATGCGTGTCCCCACTCACATGTCGCTGTAGCAGTGTGCTGTAATGATGCCCGATCGCCCCGTGACACCATACCGTGCCGGTTCATTCGACATCACTGCAAGCAAATGCAAGGCCTCACCTCAGCACAATGAACAAAAGCAACGCAAACAAGTGAAGCCTGCAGCACAGAGACATGATAGGCTGTGCGGCAACCGTAGAACATACCATATGTACCCATGTAAAAGCCACACCCAGAACTTCAGTAAAAAAGAGCCCTTCAAAAAATACAATTATAGATTACCTATGAATTAGCCACTCCCTCTTTTAAAAAAACGAACAAGCAGTACCTGTTGTGTAACGTGAGAATTCCTAAGCTTTTGTGGGTGATGACAGGGCTGCCAAGAAGGCGCACTTCACGAAACAAAGGCACGGCATGTTCTGAGGCTAGCACAGCATGTTTTCCCGAGATAAAAAACTTGCTTCTGCAGTACGTCACAAAGACTGGAACGAATGGAGGAGTGGCCACACTATTTCAATGGATACGCTCGTGAAAGCACTCAGCACCACAGGTTACAAATGCATTCTGCAGGTAACGATTAATTTTTATTTCATTTTTTATTTATCGATACTACAGTCTCCAACAGAGACTATAGCAGGTGTGAAATATTGATACATCATATTTAAAAAAAGGCACAATAGCACACAAAGAAAATACATGAAGTGAAAAACACAATTCATATAGGTAAAACAATAAGGCTAAGAAAATAAACAAGAAACACAATAGAATTTAACAGCATAATAGAAAATAACCCCAGCGTGGTTATTTTTACAATATCTAATTTAAGGTGGATAGACATAGTTCACGCATTAAGAACAAGGCAGTAAGTTGGCTGAGTTTTCTTTGCCATAATTTCAGTCAGTTACCGGAAAAATTGAAAGAGCAGCTGTATTTTGTGTACGGTCGTAGTACATTTGATTATTGTTGCATTTGTTGGAATCCACACACAGCTGTTCTCCCGGAGCAGCTTGAAAAGGTGCTAAATAAGGTGGTACAATTTGTACTGGGCAATTACAGTTTAACATTAGGCATGACGAAAAGTAAACATAAATCATTGTGGGAGGCTTAGCAAGATCAATGAAAAAACCTAGGAATGAAATGTTTTTCACACTGTTTACCATTCTAAAACCAGCATTGAGCGAGAAAGGTACATTAAGTTACCCTCTTATGTGTCATCGAGATGCAACCATGCACTAAAGTCCGTGAATTTCCTGTCAAAGGTGACGTCTTGAGGTATTTTTTTTTCACAAGAGAATGACATGCTCTAGCGCCTGACATTGTGAACATTTTGGACAATGATGTGTTTTACCGTTCGGCGGGTCTGATTACTTTGTTTCTTTTTGACTGTAACCCCCCTGCTCTAATGCCCCCTGGGTCGATGCAGGTATGCAATAAATAAAATAAAATAAATGTTTTAATCATAAAAACTGAGTGAGTCAGTCAGGGAAGCACCTTGACAAGAACGACGCAATCAATACATGGACAGGAAAAAAAGCAAATAGAACAGGAACTGTCCGGTTGTTTTTTCTGTTTATGCCATCACTGCACTGTTCTTGAAACAAGTTTAATTATCCTGCATAACTGTCTCTTGTAGCATGAGATTCCCTCACCCCAAACAAGTCACAAAGATAATATTATACATCCACCACGCATTGGCACCAACCTCTCCTTATATACATTTAATAAAAAAATATACATTGAACGTTCATGTTAAATCATTCAAGTAAAAGAAAAAGTGAGGCAACAGGTACTCACACTGAAAGTACACCGTCTTTTCACTGACATTGAACAACGAGAGCACCTGTGTGTCTCCACCCTTCTCATCCACGTAGAAGTCAAGTTGCGACGGGGAGACAGACACTGGTAGGTCCATGCCCTGTTCAACCTCCCAGGCCTCAGGATAGCCACTAGCCTCATCATAAAGCCTATAACGAAAAAAAAAAATTCGAACAGCATAATGAAATTTCGATTTTAATTTGTCTCTCGTATGCTCCTCCAATCCATGGACAGACTAGAGCTATTAGGCAAAAATCAGAAACACAATACCGATGCAGCTTTTTGGGATGGCATTTAGACATTGGCAATGCGTTGCACATGACCATCAGAATATCAGGATGCACAGGTTTGTCTTAATAAAAATTTGCGTATGCTCGGTATTTGTGTAATTTAGGCTACCTGTGCCTTACTTTGATATACTAGAATTGAAATGGTTATCCCAACATGCCACTAAGAAAATTTCAATGAAAAAATTTGTCCAGTTATGTGTGAACATGCCATTTTCATACACCTGGTGCTATTATAAATTCACAAATATACCAAATTTTAAGACCAGAATTTTTTTTTTTTTTCACGTAAAACCTATGCATAAAGAGTGAGTTAACAGCACTGTTTGAAGCTTCTGGGCAGGACAAAGTGAGTTTGTAATTTATAAACTTGACACTTACAAAAACTGCCAGCTTTCCTTTCTCTCTGCAGATTGAAATAGCTCTCACTTTCTTTTCTTTTTTAAAAATTGGTTAGCCGTGAGGGATGACATCTTAAACTGCCCAAAGTCGGTCGGATGCAGTATAAATACATCTTTGTGATCTGCCTCAAACTTGCAATATTCACCAATGTGAGCACTATATCAAAGTTCTTGAAAAATCTTGTTCGATCTCTTCTTCAAAGGAATCGACATAATACAAAAGTGAAACGTGTCCTCACAGAAGTAGTTGAATGTTTATTGGGAGCTTGCACAATGTCTCTCTAAATTTTACAACTATGGCACCGTTTAACGTTAACGCGCGCACATTGGCGCTTAGTTATACATCTCAATTCTGACGAGTGACGCCTATGATCAATGTGTAAACAAACCTTTGTACAGCGGAATCTGAGAAAGCGGCGTGACAGCCAGGAGGGCCTTGACTGAATGGACGCCGAACCTGGCCTAAGGTCGCCAACTCGCGGCATCTGAAAGTATAGAACGCCACTGGCCCGACTAAAGGGAAAAGCAACGTGCGCACTGTTCGCCGGCCGCGATTTTTCCCTGAGCAAGCGTAAATCGACCACTTACAGCCAAGCATTACTCCATGCTGCCCATGGAGGAAGGATGAAGGGCAAGGTTCTGTTCACGTTTATAGAGGAGGTCGTGGTTCTGTTACGCGTGTTGAATAAGTCAGTTGCCAGACTTTGGGGTGGTTGTTGCCAGATTGCTACCAAATTTAGCAGAGAAATTAGCTCCTGTAGTTGTGGCTTCTTTGTGAGGATTTCGTGTCGTCCGCGGTGCCAGATAAAGCAGCCAGACGACGCAGATATATTTTGGTATAGATGGATGCTATGAGCAAGTGAGGCGATTAAATGGATTGACATGGCTATAAATGAATGGATGTGGCTCTACAGATGGATGGATGTGGCTCTACCCTTTAGATAGGGCGGCGGGCAGTGCTACCTAGCCGTGACACTTAATAAGTCAAAAATTAGATTCATTTTAGTGAAGTTAGGACTGGTACTTTGCAGGGAATGGTTTAATTTTCACTCGTGTCTTGATTTTAGCCGACGCTAGGGGTAATGTCGCACACCTTGCGTTCTGTTAACAGATCGACGCGTAGAGGCAAGGCGTTGAAGAACTAACCGTGAATATCACAGTGAATATGCATTATTCAATTCAGGTTACCAAGAGCACCGTGAAAGAACAGTATTGGTTACAAAGTGTGCTTTCGTATGTTTTCCTGAGCATGTGGCCGTGGCGCAGTGAGTAGCGTACCCAGTTGCGCATCGAACGGTTAATTGTGGGTTCAACTCCTATTGGCAGGGTTTTGCGTATTTTTTAGACCTGATTTTCATGGCGGCAATGTGCCACTGAAGTCTACAGGCGGTCCTCGGCATTAAAACACTTTCGTGTTAAACAAGAACATTTAAAAGCGAGTCTGGAATATAGATCTGAGTACAGGCAGGACCCAAGAGGACAATGAGAGGGGCGTTCATTTACAATTTCACGCATGCCTCGAGGACACTCTCCTCATCAGCATTGGACACAATTTCTTGGGCGCATCCAGCAGCTCTGCAGACACAGCTGGTTAGCGAATTTCAATGGAAGGCTGCGGACAGAGCTGTGTCGGACACTCAACTAAAAAAAAAAATTGTCTATTCCTACCCAAATTGTAGACGCGACCGAACGCACTTTCGATATCACATGTCAAGAAAAAAAAAAAAAGACAAGGTGCGATCGACAGCGGGGGCAATCGCAACAACCGTTCTTGAGAGCCAAGCACTCTTGAAACATGCACCGGGCCGCTCGTGATCGTCCTTTTCTGTGTCACCATCACACAATCAGATGCAAGGTCTAGCACTGGTGCTCGCAATTAGGCGATGTTCAGGAAATAGCTGCAGGAATCACCGCCTCCAACATCTTTGCGGGCAAAATGACTGGGGTGTTATGAGTACACTTACCCTCTAGCCTCGCCGTTGAAACGAAGTTCGGTGGCCGAAACACTGATCCGGCTGGGCCCAGAACCACCTCGCAACATTCTTGATCGAGCGTTTGAATTAGGCGTACGTTAGGTTGGCTTTATGCACAACAACGTTTGGTGCACTAACCCGTGCATGCGCGTCTCGCCGGTCGTGAAAACCTGTGTTGGTCAAAGCCTCCTGTCGTAACGTTCGAAGCACTTCCACGCCGCAGGAGGCGCTCTCCCAGCTGATGCCATAGAAGAATTTATCAGTCAGACTAAAAGAATATAGAGCTAAATTCTTCATTCTCTTAAACATTTAAATGTTATTATTCAGTAATTATTTATTTTGTAACCTATTCCTGGCACATACGAGTAGTATAGCGAAGAAACAAAAACAACAAAAATTCACCTAACACTAGGCTAATCCCCTAGTTGCCCGATCTAAAGGGTACAACCATATCAATCCATCCGGTCGGTTGGTTGGACCCACCAAGAAGATTGGCTCAACCTGGGTATGGTGGCTAGAAGGGGGAGGTGGCGTCAGCGCCCATGCGCCGCCGCAGGGAAAGCGATTCGTCGTTTCATGACACGGCCGTGGTAGCCGGGGTGGCGCTCCGGCCAGCTCTTCGATGCCAGCCAGAGTGCACAGATACCTGTACCTGAAAAGTGTGGACACCCAATGGCGGAAGAGGACGCGAAAGCTGGCGACTAAATATAACTTGACCGCGGCAAATAAGCAAAGGGGGCCAGTTAAAAAGCAAGTGAGGGAAACAGAGACGCTCATGTGGAAAGAGAGGATGGAAAAGAAGAGATCGCTGGGAATCTACAAGGCAAGCAAACAAGAGATCCGGAAAGAGAACTTTTATGACAACAATAAAGGTAGTGCGTTGCTCTTTGAGGCGCGGGTTGGCTGCTTGAGAACTCTAACTTACAGGAGCAAATATTCGTCACAGGATGAGACATGTGTTGGATGTGGCATAAATAAAGAAACAATCTACCACATAGTCATGGAATGCCAAAAGATTCAGCCGGATAGAAATGGGGGGAAGGTCACACTTCCTGAGGCACTGGGCTTCGCGGTTGATGGAAGCATTAACTGGTCAGCAGTAGGTATTACTAAGCAGCGGCTGGAGTATTGGTGGAGGAAAAGCAGAGAAGTCGATAAAATAACATCCCAGCCAAGAGTAGCGGCTGGGCAAAATTAAAAAGACATCCGAGTTGAGGGACAGAATTTAAACTCGAACTATTAAGGTAGGCTAGATGGCGCATACCGTCACCCCGATTCGAAGGGGAGGCCTTTATACATCATCATCATCGATGCCTGTCGAAAGCGAAGCGAGGGGGTTGGCGCTGTTTCTTCCGTCGTTTGTTTACCGTTTCGCGCACGTGTTTCTTTGTGCCTTACAGGCTGAGTTCGTCGCTTTTTGTGTGACAAGTATGTCGCACAAACTTATTTCCAGTCAGTACTGAGTGCGGTGATCTAAAGCGCAATGAGCTCTGGCGTGAAACGGAAAGCGTCGCAGACGCACTGCTTCGCGCCCGGCTGTTCTTCGGGCTACATCTCTGCGAGGAAGTCCGGTCGGCAAGTGTCGTTGTTTTCTGTGCCCAAAGACCCTGAACGCTTCAAAGCCTGGCAGCGAGCAGTGCCACGTGCGGACAAACCACTGGAAGCAACCTCAGTTCTTTGTGAGCTGCATTTCGACGAACAGTACCTCGTGCGGTTTTTCACCCACACTATCAACGGTGAGACAGTTCGAATTCCTCGTGACCGACCTAAGCTTACGGATAATGCAATCCCCACCGTTTATCCGAACGTGCCTGCGTATTTATCGAAGAAACCGCCCCAGAAAAGAACGTCGAGGACGTCTACGGGGGGCCTACCTGCAAAGATTCCGCGGTGTGAAGGAAGCGCCTCTGTGCACGACAACGCTGCCGACTCCCATGAAGACGGAAGCTTTTCCAACTCTCCAACCGCGCTTGATATCGCGAGTTGTGAACCACCAAGTGCCTATTGGGCGAAGCACAGGATCGCTGGGGCGGACAGTGCTACAGCATTCACAGTTTGTGCCATGAATAACGGTAACCTCGCCTTAGAAAAAGTCGTTCTCTTCACTGCAAACGAGTGCAGCGTTCAAGCGAAAGTTTCCGTTCAAGCCACGGTAGTGAAAAACGTACAGGTCAGTAGCACTGCTTGCGGAAGCGGATTCTCTGACACCGTGCAAAGGATTCGGCGAAAAGGGCGAGTTCGCTGCTAATCCCAAATGCCAAGAAAATACCTGTGGTGGGAAGACTTTCAGCATGTCTTGCCCTGGTGTGGCACAAGAACTAGGCAAAGCCTGCCCACAGTGTAGATACCTAAGGAAGCTACTGCTCAACCAGGGCTCCTACAAACGAAGGAAGGCACATGCTTGCACCCGGCCCCTTTCATACAAGCTGAAGATTCGGAGCATGCAACTGAAGAGGACGAAATCGAAAATTCTGAGAGTGAAGCTGAACATCGAGAAACTAAAAAGGAAAAATGCAAGCGAAGATTCCTTGGTGTTTGTGGATGCCATCAAATCCCTGCCCTCAAAACAGCAGCAGCAGGTAAGAGCATGCCTAGCAGCGGCGAAGCGCAAAAGCACCAAAGGAATGAAATATGACTCTGAATGGGTGCTTGAGTGTGCAGTCATGTGCATGAAGAGTCCACGGCTCTATGAGCACATAAGAAAGCATAAGATCATGGTTATTCCATCACGTACGTGTCTTCGGCGCTACTTGAAGAAGTTCAGAAGTGGCTTTGGCCTCAGCAGCAAAGTTTTTGCTGCTGTAAAAGAAAAAACAAAGTCGATGGACCCGTTTCAGTGCCATGGCGGCCTACTCATCGATGAAATGAAGCTATCGGAAAACTTGAGTCTTGCTTCGGATGGCAGCATTGAAGGCTTCGTTGACCTCGGGAAATTCACACCTGAAGCCGAGCGCTCACTTACATGTGATCATGGACTGGTGGTGATGTTCCAGCCCTTCAGTGGGAAGTGGCATCAGATTATTGGAGTATTTGCCTCGCATAGCAATGTTAAAGCAGAGACTCTAGCCAAAATAATCCTTGAGTGTGTCATAGTGTGCGAGAATGCTGGGCTCCACGTGGATTTCGTAACGTGTGACGGAGCTTCATGGAATCGGGCCATGTGGCATTCATTTGGTGTGGTTGGAACGAAGGAAAAAACTGTGTGCAGAAGTAAGCACCCCAGTGACCCCGAGCGTTTCCTTTACTTTGTATCAGACTTCCCGCATCTCGCCAAATGCGTGAGGAACAGCTTTGTTCGCACAGGCTTTGAGCTTCCAGAAGGGCACCCTGATGTTAACGGTATAGACTGTGCCCGAAACTCTGATGAAAGTCGTAGCACCACGCTCAAGGCAATGCCACACGTCAGTAAGTCCGTGGTTTGGCCTACTGGTTTTGAGGCTATGAGGGTCAACTACGCATTTTTGCTGTTCAGTGATGAAGTCCTCCGTGGCCTTTTTCTCTACAGAGAAGATATTGAAGAGAAACATGGAGACCAATCTCCCACTGTCAACTTTGTAGAAAGGATGCGAAATCTTATTGAGGCCATGAGTTCTAGGTGTAGTTCAGGTGCGCTCAGGCCCGGTAATGCCCACAAAGCCTGCATTGAAAGCTTCTTGGCTTACTTGGACCTGTGGGAAAAAAAAGTCTGAAAAAAAGGGGTCAGCTGGCTTCCTTAGCCAAACCACCGCAGAAGGACTTCGCGTCACGCTCTCAAGCACCCTACTCCTTCTGGAGTACGTGACAACGAAATTGAATTACAAGTACCTCATGACAAGCCGGTTGTGCCAAGATCCGATGGAAAGGGTCTTTGGGATTGTTAGGCAAATGTCTGGGTCTAATGATCACCCGTCGCCCAGCCAGTTCCTCATTTCCATTAATACTCTGAGCTTCCCAAATCTTGCCAAGTCACCGTCACATGCCAATGTGTCTTCAGGAGTGCTAAGGAATCTGATAGACACCGAGGGTGCAATGGGCACCACGTCTCATAGGAGGATCGATGAACTGCTAGACATAGGCAACCTCTGTGAAGCACGTGAAGTCCTCAGCGGGTGTGGGCTTGACCACACTGACATGGTAGTGGAAGCCAGTGACTCAAGGCTCATCTATTACATTGGCAGCTATGTGGCAAGGAAAAGCATCGCAACCACAAAGTGCACCGACTGCTGTGCACAGCTCCTGCGACAGAACGATGGGTCACTGCCAGCCGCAGCATGCCTCACCAATGCAGTGAACAGGGGTGGCCTGCTGCATCCATCAGCCAAGCTGAATGACCTGGTGACTTCGCTTGAGAACGCATTCACACGTTGCTTCAGCATCAAGGAGATCAAAAGTGACAGTATCCTGGACTTGATCTCATTTTTGCAGTTGGCTAAGTTGACCGTCGTGGGCTGCCCCGACCACAGCACGGAACTCACAAACAAGGTCATCAAATTCTACGTCCTCATTAGGCTGCATTTTCTTGTGAAAACTCAGAATGCCAGCCAAGGTGACAAGCGTAAGAAGATGAAGATGCTAAAATTAAGAAGAGTGCTGTGAATTGAGTGGATTAGTTGCTTTTCCTCACTCTACTTTCAATGCAGCCTTTGTATGAGTTGTGTAAATATGTTCAAAAGTGATCACCATAGTTGAAAATGTATGAACATGACTGACTTTTTTTTTTTGTCGTCGAGGTGAATTGGTGCCATACTCAAATGCAAACGTTTTTATTGTATTTGTGCATGTTTTCAATGAAGTGAAGCGCTTTTACCTTTTCCCCCAATTGCAGGCTTCATGTTTTTATTCTGCTTTCAGTAAAATGTGTTCTAAATTTGCAAAAAAATAATCTGTACTTAAAAACTGAACAGTCTTTCTTTTATTAGTTAAAGTGATGTGCTGCAGTCGCAGATACAGACGCTTTCTGTTTACGTGCAGTTATTGATTTCTTGTCAGTTGTTCGGATTGGAAAAAATAAATCGTTTTTTATGCTTTGTGTACTCATGCAAACAGCGGGTATGGTCTCTTCCTTGTATTTTATCGAAACTAACGTCGAGTGCAAAATGGGAAGTGTGGAGTAGAGCTTGGAAGTCGGAAGCGAGGGATCAGTGCCATTCGGGATTGCATCGGTCATGCGTATCGGAATAGAACACTTCGACGTGCTCGGTACGAGTTCCGAAGTATATGCCACTTAAGGCCACTTGCGTGATTAGTAAAATTAGACTTGCGCGTGCGGCGAACTTCTAATTTGCGCTTCCGCCGCGCGCCCAGCCGTAGAGCGAGCAGCCGAGCGGGCATCGAACTACGACAAGCAGCGCCACCGTGCGCCAGGCATGAAACGGCGCATCG